CGGGGCGGGAGGCGCCGGGTCCGGTTCGGCCCGTGAGGGCTGGCTCTTCAAGTGGACCAACTACATCAAGGGCTACCAGCGCCGTTGGTTCGTGCTCAGTAACGGCCTCCTCAGCTACTACCGGTACGTACCGGGGACACCCCCCCCGTCCACCCCTGGGCCCGTCCCGCAGCCCCTCGCCCCCTCTCTGCCCTGCGGGGTTCCCCCGTGACCTTGGGGCCCGGCCGGTTCTCCCCCACCACAAAGCCACGGGGTGGTGTTTATGTGTGTCGCCCCTACCCCACCCCGCACCGGTCAGGTGTCAGTGTTCCCCGCCGTTCCCCGCCGTTCCCCGGTGCCAACTGGGGCGGGGAAGGGTTGTCATCTTCCTGTCGGGGCCCTGGGGCTGTTTGGGGCCGGGGCGGGGGGTCGCCTGTCTGTCTGCCCACCCCCGTAGCTCCTTCCCCCGGCCGCTGGATCTCGGTGTTCCTCCGAGCAGCCCTTCCCCGGGGGGGCACCGAGGGCCGTCCCCCCCGCGGGTCTGCTCCGGGTGGGAGTGGGGCAGGGGGGGAGAGCGGCGTTACCAGCCCCCTCCCCGCTGTACCCCTGCTTAGTCCCCAAGGGGACACCTGAGCCCAGCTGAGGGGGGACTATGTCCGTCCCCGGTTCTCCATTATTGATGGGGGAACCGGAGCCTGCAGGCAGCTGCCAGCTCGAGTTACAGCCCCGCGGGTGGGGGGAGGCCCGGGCCGGGCTGGGGGTGTCCCAGGCGTCTGTCACCGTCCCGCAGGCCCGGGCCCGGTGACGCGGAAGAGGTGTGCTAGGCTGGCATGGCTTCGCGCCACGCCGGAGAGTTCACCGCCGTGTTGGGATGCGGGAGGCACGGAGGGGAGCGTGGTGGTCCCTGGGGGCTGCAGACCCCTCCCCACACTCTTCCCCCGAAGCGGTGTTGCCAGCCTTGGCCCCGTTCCAGCGCTGGCGGTGAAACCCCACGCCGGCTGCGTGCCTGCCCCGCCGGCTTGGCAAAACAGCCGGGGGCTGGAACCGGTGCCCTATTAATAGCCCTGTCTGCAGGCTGGGGAACACCAGGTCCCAGCTGCAGCCCCCCCAAAGACTCAGCCCGCACCCAGGCCGGGCTGTGGGTCACCTCCTTCCTCCAGCCCCTTCACCACACCCCATCCCGCTCCATCCCAGGTCCAAGGCGGAGATGCGGCACACCTGCCGCGGCACCATCAACCTGGCCACAGCCAACATTACCGTGGAGGACTCCTGCAACTTCATCATCTCCAACGGCGGGGCTCAGACCTACCACCTGAAAGCCAGCTCGGAGGTGGAACGGCAACGCTGGGTCACCGCCTTAGAGCTGGCCAAGGCCAAAGCCGTCAAGATGCTGGAGGAATCAGGTACAGCCCCCATGTGAGCCGGCGTGTGTTCCCCCAGGCCTCCGGAGCCAAGCAGCATGCATCAGCCCCCTGCTATGCCCACATGGGTCCTGCTTCTTGGGCCTAGGGACTGTTTTGCCCCTCCACAGAACATGACCCCACATTCCCTCCCTGTTGCCAAGCTCCCTTTGCTCGCTGCTAGCGAGCAACCTGCTTTTTCCCGTCCATCTCCCCTGCCCGGTTGGGGTGCTGTGCAGGGACGGCATCGCAGCACATGGCCCGGGGTGCTGGCAACCGCTCCCCAAGCAGGATTTGGAAGGGGTGGCCGCGTCCATCCACGTGTGAGCTCGGCAGCTCTGTCCTGCCTGCTGCAGCCGTGCCAGCGTGGAGCTGGCTTTCCTGCTGTCCGGCTCCAGCTTGAGGAGTTGCCAGCAGCCTGGCACATGCTTCCTCGCTAGCGTGACTGCTCGTGCACCAGGAGATTGGCCATCTGCTCCGAGCTGCTGCTCTCTGCTGTGACATCGCCGTCCAGGATGCCATGGTGGTGGCCGGGAGCACCCCATGTGTGGCTTCCAGCCCCCAGAGAGTGGGGGGGGGCTCCTGTGGTGCCCATCCTGGCAGCCCCGTGGTCAGAGCCTGGTGTGGCTCAGAGGGCAGGTGCTCTCGCTGCTCCCAGCCCGCAGCTTCCCCTTCTTCCCCATCTCCTGGGAGGAGAGAGGCCCCATGGGGCCACGCGAACATCCCTTCCTGCTGGCAGATGACTCCGGCGACGAGTCAGTATCGCAGACGGATAAGACGGAGCTGCAGAGCACGCTGCGCACCCTGTCCAGCAAGGTGGAGGATCTGAGCACCTGCAACGACCTGATTGCTAAGCACGGCACAGCCCTGCAGCGCTCCCTCAGCGAGCTGGAGACCCTCCGGCTGCCGGCTGAGAGCACCGAGAAGATCAAGCAGGTGAACGAGCGAGCCACCCTCTTCCGCATCACCTCCAATGCCATGATCAACGTGAGTCCCGTACCCCACCCTGTAGGGCAGGGCAGGGGGGTCACGCGGGGGGGTTGACCCCCATCACGCAGACCTTACGCTGATGGGGGCACCGTTTCCCTGCAGGCCTGCCGGGATTTTCTGATGCTGGCCCAGACCCACAGCAAGAAGTGGCAGAAATCGTTGCAGCACGAACGGGACCAGCGCATCCGGCTGGAGGAGACGCTGGAGCAGCTGGCCAAGCAGCACAACCACCTGGAGAGGGCCTTCCGCGGCGCTACCGTCCTGCCTGCCAGCGCGCCTGGCACCGGCGGCTCCACCAAAGGTACTGCCGGGCTGCCCAGAGCCCCCATGCCGTGTTCTTGGGGGGCTGGTTGAGGGGGAGCGAGTGGTGGTGAGATGGAGCTGATAGTGCAGGGCAGGGATGGGGGAAGCCAACAGCACTGCACCCAGGGTAACTCCCAGCTGCTTCTAGTCCCTTCCCTGAGCCAGGCCCGGCGTGCTTCGCGTCGCCAACCCCAAGCGATAGGTCTGTTCCGTCTCTCCCGCGCAGCCGAACAGCTGCGGCACCTACAGTGGGCAGCGTGCTGCCCCACCGCGCACGAAACCTGCTCGCTCTGTCCCTGCTCCTCCGAAGCCTTGTCTGCCCGCCCCTCAGCACAGCAGCGGTGGTGTGTGGCCCTCGCGTGGCTGGTGGTGACAGGGTGGGGGGACCCTCCAGTGCTCCCACTGGGCGAAACTGGGAGGAACCTTGAACTCGCTGCCTCAACTGCCCTCTTTCCCCCGGCCCCTGCCCCAGATCCGTGCTGCCCTGCAAAAGGAGACCTGAGTGACGAGGATGATGACAACGAGTTCTTTGATGCCCCAGAGATCATCACCTTGCCGGAGAGCATGGGCCACAAGTGAGTGCTGGGGTGTGGGGCTGCTCTCCTGTGCCCCACACCCCGCTCAGGACTGATTCTGCCCCTCTCCTTGCCCCCCCCAGGCGCACCGGCAGCAACATCAGTGGCACCAGCAGCGACATCAGCCTAGATGAGCAGGTAGGATGGGGGGCTTTCCTCCGGCATCGTGTGCTGGCTTTTGGAGGAACAGGGCTGGCAGGGAGGTGGCTGCGAGGCAGGGCTGGGCTGGGGGTGCCCCGGTTCTTGCGGCGGGGGTCACAGCGGCGTCGCAGCAGCCCTGATCTCGCCCTTAGTACAAGCACCAGGTAGAGGACACCAAGAAGGAGAAGAGAACCCGCATCCCCTACAAACCCAACTACAGCCTCAACCTCTGGAGCATCATGAAAAACTGCATTGGGAAGGAGTTGTCCAAGATCCCCATGCCGGTGAGTGGAGATGCAGCTGGTGGGTGGGTGCAGGGCACCCCGAGAACCCCCCCCTCTTACCTCTCTTTCCCTTCCAGGTGAACTTCAACGAGCCCCTGTCCATGCTGCAGCGTCTGACTGAGGACTTGGAGTACCACGAGCTGCTTGACCGGGCGGCCAAGTGCGAGAGTTCGTTGGAGCAGCTGTGCTACGTGGCCGCCTTCACCGTTTCGTCCTACTCCACCACCGTCTTCCGCACCAGCAAGCCCTTCAACCCCCTCCTGGGGGAGACCTTTGAGCTGGATCGCCTGGAGGAGAACGGCTACCGCTCCCTCTGCGAGCAGGTACCGCCAGCCCCGCTCCTCCGGGACCACCGGCCCGCTCAGGGTGGCTGGCTCTGACCTGTCCCCTCTCCCGGCCAGGTGAGCCACCACCCACCGGCCGCTGCCCACCACGCCGACTCCAAGCACGGCTGGACGCTTCGCCAGGAAATCAAAATCACCAGCAAGTTTCGGGGCAAATACCTCTCCATCATGCCTCTGGGTGAGCTCCGCAGCACTGGGCACGTGCCGTGCGGGAAGACGCTTGGGGAGGGAGGATATCTGTGCTGCGCATGGGAGTGGGGCAGGTTTGGGGACCACCCGAGCCTCTGTTGGCGGGGCAGGCTCCAGGCGATCGTTCCCAGCGCAGCCTTCCTTCCTCAGGTACCATCCACTGCGTCTTCCACTCCTCCGGCAACCACTACACGTGGAAAAAGGTCACGACCACCGTGCACAACATCATCGTGGGCAAGCTCTGGATAGACCAGGTGGGTTGAAACCCCAGTGATAGGGCTCACCAGCACCTGTTTGTGCCGGTCCTGTACAGAGACATGGATCCCCCGTGCCTCAGTTTCCCCTGCCACCAGGGAAAGGGCTGTGGGCTGGATCTGACCATCTCCTCCTCCCCTCCGCAGTCGGGTGAAATCGAGATTGTCAATCACAAGACGGGCGACAAGTGCAACCTCAAGTTCGTTCCTTACAGCTACTTCTCACGGGACGTGGCAAGGAAGGTAGGGGCACGGGGAGGCTGGGTGGGCGGCTCGGGACGCACCGGGGTGCTTGTGGCTTTTGAGTGTCCTGATTCAGGCTGTCCCTGTCCCGGCAGGTCACCGGGGAGGTGACAGACCCCGCGGGGAAAGTGCATTTTGTCCTGTTGGGCACCTGGGATGAGAAGATGGACTGCTACAAGGTGACGCTGGGCGCTGGGGACAACGGAGCGGAAGGGCGGCAGAGGGCCCACGAGGCCGAGGACAGCCGGGTGCTGCTGTGGAAGAGGAACCCGCTCCCGTGAGTAGGGGACACGGGACAAAGGTGTCCCAAGAGCTGGGGGGGGGGACCGGGGTCGGCTCTGGGGCCCCAGCGAAGAGCAGGGGCATGAGGCTGGGTGTGAAGCCCGCTGGCACAGGGGGCTTGAGTTTGATCCCTTTTCCCTGGCGTAGGAAGTACGCAGAAAATATGTACTACTTTTCGGAGCTGGCGTTGACGCTCAACGCCCCGGAGAGCGGCACGGCGCCCACGGACAGCCGTCGGCGCCCGGACCAGCGCCTGATGGAGAACGGCCGCTGGGATGAGGCCAACGCCGAGAAACAACGACTGGAGGAGAAGCAACGTATCTCCCGCAAGAGACGCGAAGCCGAGGCCGCCAGGGCCACCGAGGACGGTAAGGAAGGGACGAGTGACCCCCTAACCCGCTCCCTACCTGGCCCCA